CTTGGGGAGGGTGGGCGGCGCATTGTTCCCCGGTAGACCCGAGGAGATCTAAACCGGGTGAAGCGTTTTGTCGAAATGGGGGAAGCCGTTTGCACTACTCCCTCCCCCGTCAGTCACTTGTGCTGTTGCCGTAACTTACAGAACTTTATTCTGGCTTCACCGTTCTCTCTCGGGTAATAAAAAGATAAGCCTTGCTGATAGCTAATTTTGCATTCACTTTCCTTTAAAATCAGTCCCTCAGTATTCCTGTGAGGACGCTGCCTTGGGTTTGGGTTTTTGTTGTTGTTTGGGGGGGTTTTGTTTGGTTAAAAAGGCAGCTTCTTTCAGTTGATTTTTTTTAAAGAGCACAGCAGTGTTTGGGTAGGCTTTAACTGCTGTTAAATACATTTGGCAAAATCTGACTTTGAACCTGCCAGCTCTTTCGGTTTTGTTTTGCTTTAGTCACTAAGAACTCAAAGTGTAAGAGGGAATTAATGTTACAGTCTTGTGTCTTGTATGACATGAGTACACCCGTGAGGCCAAAGATCATCTCTGTCAGGATAAACATTATTTAAGTTAGTAGAATACTTCAAATAGGTGTGTTGCTATTTTTAAAAAGTGTTCTGAGTGGAAGAGTACAGAAAACTTCTGAGTGGGTGGATGGCTTTAGGAAGTGTTCCTTGTGAGATGTTGACAACTTAAAAATGAAAGGTTCTGTTACTGCTTGTGATGTTAGTTAGATTTAAAATCTTCAGTGGAAGGAGTCTGGATGTACTCTAACAGTGTGGTGTGTGTTTGATTTTTGGTTGTTTTTTTTTTTTTTTTCTTCTTCTTCTCTTTAGTTGATGAGTATTAAGCTGGCTTAAAATTTCCAGATACTGTATAAAGTAGTTTGTGAACTGCATGTGTGCTTTTTTTTTTTTCCTCTGGAACGCTGAAAGATGGGAATTCTCCCGGTTTCAGTGTTCCAAATAGATTACTGCAGTTATTTGAATTGCAACGTGTATTTTCAGTACAACACACATTCTAGTAAGAGTCTGTGATTACTTAGGTCTGTGCTATTTATTTATGTTTTCAGTAGTGAGGCATGGACTAACTGTAGCTTGAAAGACTTTATTTATACAAATATAGAAGAACACTACAGAATTATCTTTAAATATGACTGGCTAATGAGACTTCATGCAAATAAGGTATCCACTCTGCATGTTTATTTCCTGACAGTTTGTAGTTCTAAGTACTGTTTAAGTTCACTTCAGTGATTTGTTTCTGCCATCTATGATATTGCTTGAACATAGGTGATATTTATTTGCTTTGTGTGTGAAAAGCAGAATGTGTATGCAGTATTGAATCCTGCACTTTCTGCATTACTAAAGGAATTTATCTTCTAATACTACTAGAAGATTTTATTTTGGCCAGAGGAACTGCTGAAGAAGTCTGTTTACAATGAACTTGAGGAAATCACTGAGTTAATGTGAAAGTTGTAGTTTAGAAATTGAGAAATTTGTCCTGTTTATTAAGTGGGGTAGTGCACTATAGCTTCTTTGCAAGCAAGTTAGATTTAGATGTAAACTGCTGTGACTGTAATATCTTTTGGATTCTTTTAAATCTAAATCAACTACCTGTTATTATTACCTTATGGAGTTAAAGATACTAAGTAGTTGTATCACACAAAGTGTGTCTTTTTCACAGTAGTGCCTGCACTCTACTTCTGTTGACTTGCTAAAGTGAGAAAATGTGACTGTTTACCTTTAGAACCCTTTTCTCTTGCGCTCAACAGAGCTGATGCTATAGCGGATTCTTTTAAATCTAAATCAACTACCTGTTATTATTACCTTATGGAGTTAAAGATACTAAGTAGTTGTATCACACAAAGTGTGTCTTTTTCACAGTAGTGCCTGCACTCTACTTCTGTTGACTTGCTAAAGTGAGAAAATGTGACTGTTTACCTTTAGAACCCTTTTCTCTTGCGCTCAACAGAGCTGATGCTATAGCCTGTATACCAATCACAGAATCAGATGATGTTCTAAGAGTGAGATTCACGTGAATTAATAGAACAGAAGCTGAACTTAGCAGTATTAAAGCAGGAAATTATGTATGTAGTTTTAGTATTAACAGATGGTTAGAGAGTGAACTCTATTGTTACAGCTCAGCAGCTTTGCTTCTCTACTCAGCTTAAGCTTGAAATGCTTGAAATATACTATGAAATGCTAAAGAGCTGGCTCAAAAACAACTAGTATGGGATTGAAACAGTCAGAAGGGAGAAACACTTTGAAGAACTGTCTGGTCCACTTTCCTTTCTCTCCATTGATGTCCTCTTTTGTCCAAGTGCTTAAAAAGACATGAAGTATTTGCTTAACTCTGCAGATAGTTAAGATCCCTCTATATCAGTATATTGAAATAAGACATTTTCAAGCTTTGGTGTTCCAGCATACTACACAACATCTTCATAGGTAGGAGGCTTGCGTATTACTTCTTGCGTATTACTTACATATTGCTTCTCACGTATAACTGGGTTAATTTATGGCCTTTGGAAGTTATGATGGAAACTGACTTTTGTGATTGGGCAGAAGAGGCAGTAGTACAAGCATGGTGATCTGTTTCTGTAGTGAGGTAGGATGTCTTAAGCATATTGTCTGCCATCTAGATTCAGCTCTCATAGTAGCACCTCCATCTATGACCCTTAAGATTGCTGTGTACTTTGTTATTTCATATGCCAGGTTTAGGAATAGTGTGTTATCTCAAAGTAGACACCACATCCACATTCTAGAAGACCAGATGTCCGACTGGATTATCCTAAGAGCATGATGTGGAGCCATTGTTTTTGGCAAAACTTTCCACAATAATAAAACAAGTAGGGATAAATGAGAAATAATATCTTGTTTGTCTCATTTTGTCAGGTTGGAGAAAGCCAGCAAAGAACTTGGGGAAACTGTTTAGCAACCAGGTTTGAGCCTGATGTTTTTGGGCTGGGAGGCAAGCCTGAAAGATAATCAAAAAATACATAGAGAATATGAACATAATGTTGAAAATTTTGTATAGCATGCTTAATTGTTTTTGTGGTGTGTCAGGGTGCCAGAATCTGTTTTAGAAACCATATGCTACTAAGCAACTGAAGTAATATGTTTTTCTACTCTTGGATATTATATGTACCTCTATAGCTAGCTTGGGATACTTCTCAGGAAATGGGATAGACTGAATTGATAGGATTGGGAAGACATTTTGGTATAAACTGTCAACAGCCTGCTTGTTTGTGGAATAGTTCTTCACACAATATTGGGAAAAAATCTGTTACTGTAAAATACAAGACTCTTCATGACCTTCGTTTATTTAATAACTTCCATGAAATGCCAAGAAGCATGTTTGAAGTGGTATATGTGATTTGGAGTGGGTGAAAACATTCCCAACTAACCCTTTGACTGTTCTTTCTTCTTGCTATTACTTTGTATAGTCATCCCCTAATCCAGTTAAACTGACGTATCTTTTCCTCTTCCATGGGACTTAAAAACTTGGAATGCTCAGTGACAGAATCTATGCAATGTGTTACATGCCAGCAGTGGAAAAGAATACTGAAAGGACCTCAGTATACAACTGTATGGAACTGTGAAGCTGTAATACACTCTGCTGGAGTGGTGGTATGTAGAATCATTTAGGTTGGAAGTTACCTTTAAGATCATAGAGTCCAACCATAAACCTAACACTGCCAAGTCCACCAATAAACCATGTCCCTAAGCACCACATCTACGTGGCTTTTAAATACCTCCAGGGGTGGCAACTCAACCACTTCCTGGGCAGCCTGTTCCACTGCTTGACAGCCCTTTCGGGGAAGGAATTTTTCCTAATATCCAACCTAAACCTCCCCTGCTGCAACTTGTGGCCATCTCCTCTTGTCCTGTTGCCAGCCTCCTTTTCTCCAGCCTAAGCAACCCCAGTTACCTCAGCTGCTCCTCATAAGATTTGTGCTCCAGGCCCTTCACCAGCTTCATAGCTCTTCTTTGGATGTGCACCAGGACCTCAGTGTCGGTCTTGTAGTGAGGGGCCCCAAGACTGAACAGAGTATTTGAGGTACAGCCTCACCAATGCCAACTAGAGGGGGAATAACGACTTCCCTAGTCCTGCTGGCCACCCTGTTTCTGATACAGGCTGGGATGCTGTTGGCCGCCTTGGCCACCTGGGCACACTGCTGGCTCATATTCAGAAACCTATTCAGTATGTTGTTAGGCATGTTGGTAAAATTGCTAAGAGGAGCACCTATGAAATTGGTAGTGAGAATTTGGTTAAAGACATGAAGGGAGGAAGAATTGAGTAAAAAATATGTATGTATGCACAAGCAAAAACTGGTCTGTAGTGAGATTTAAGGGTTAGTTTTCTTGGAGGAAGTTTTGGGAACAGTCCTATTTAATTTTGAATGAGATGATTCTAAGCGTTTATACACAGTCTAAGTTGCACGTCTTCAAGGAGATGAAGTACGTGGCCTAGTGGTCTCCATCCTGTGCCCACTGGGTCTTCTGGAAAATGAGCACTGGAAGACCAGTTGTGCCAAAAGATACTTTTAAACACGAGGAAAACTCTAAAGCCTTTTTATGATGACCAAGCAGATCCTGGTTGAGGCCTGTGAAAGGATCATGTGATTTCCAGTTTGGTAACAAAACATGATTAGGATTGAGGATGGGAACTTCCAATTTTTTTTTTAGTAAAACCTCTGACTTATTTCAGAGTTTATTAAATATGTTCTAGAATATAGCAATTCCAGTAATAAAAGCATTCTCACTGTTACTATGTATTAAGTGTATCCTAGGCCTCATTTATCCCTGCTATGAAGTGGCACAGTCCCCACCTTCAATGACCATAGGCAGAATTTGTGACTGGATCGGAGTATATAAAGTAAGATTGTATTGTGCAAATTTAACTTCTACAAGAGGTTTTTGGAGTAAATCTCATTCTTTCCTGAGCTAGTAGTAGAGAGAAAGATGCTTCTGTAAATGTACATTATGCTCCTCTAGAAAAGTGAAGCATAAGACCCTAGACCCTAGTGAGGTGATGCACATTTCTCACTCGTAGTAGTGCCCTAATTGATAGATTAATCAAAAGCAAGTTAATAAAATTTCAAGTAGTGCTTTATACAGTGGCTGTAGGCAATGCTTAGTACAGATGTGATTACATCTTTTTTTTTTTTTTCCTTCATTGTATTGTAACTGGTTTGAGCAGTTGAGTTAGAGCAGAAAACAAGGGAGTAAACATTTCTAAAGGCTTGGCTTGCTACAAATTGCTAATACTTCAATGCTACTTGCACTGCAAAAAAGAGTATCAGCCACTGCCTCTGTAGGGTGGATTTTTGCATCTTTGTACTAGAGTGGTTATACGGTTAGTATTTCTCATATAGAAACTGTAAAAATACAATGCTATTTGCTTTTGTTTTGTGTAAGTATAGTGGAAAGTGGTAAGTATAGTCTTGTAGGGGTTTTTTGGCTTTTTTTTTTTTTTACTAAGAGTTACAGTAGGGCAAAAATCATAGGTAAGGTCCTGGTGAAAAAACTCTTCTTTCTGTGGAACACACTGTAACCTTACCTTTACAGCAGATGTAGGGCTCTCTTCATATTTCGTTCTTACTTACCATTTAGTACTTTGACCAGTCTCCAATGTAAAGAGCTCAACTGGAACTTTAAGACTAGTTCGAACTACAGTAATTCACATTATTTTTTCTATTGCTGCCTTAACAGACTTGTTAGGGTATCCAAGTATCTTTAGAAGCTAACTCTTTTACAAAATAATAAGTAGAGGATCACATCTGTTTGAGTTTAGCTGCTGTCTTCAAACATCTTGAGAAAGGATGGAAAATCTAGAGACTGGAACAGACCTGGGTAGGTGAGTTTCCTGGTGATGTTTTAA